AAAAAACGACAAGTGTAGCCTTAATATCCTAATTATATATCCATTATTATCTTTATTGAAAACAATGCCTAATTTGTGTTCAGGGAATGTATACTTTTCGAGATGTGGCCTTCAAAAATTCGGATTCAATCCTGTTCTACCGAATCTACTTGATTTTGTTCCTTAACATGGATATAATATGAAAGCTTACGGAAAGTAATCATTAAATAAATTCCCGATTCGGTGGTTATAATAAAAATACTTTTGTATACAGAAAAGATTTTGAAGCATATAGCAGCATTTTGGAAAAGTCAAAATGACATTCCACTTTCTACTTTTTGGCGACATGTCATATAAAATTCAGGTCTCAAATGGATTTTTCAAAACTCCTGAACCAGTCAATTTAAAACATAGGTCAAGCGTTTTTTTTTTTTTTTTTTTTCATATGAAGTTCAAATTGAAAAAGTCAGGAACATTAAGAGACACATATATTGTAAACTTTCAGGGAATAGGGGCGTCTAATTGTAAAAATAAGGTCTTCATCAGACACGCATGTATTTTACAGTTGACATTGATACTACTCCATTAGCGAAATTGGACATTAGACAGAATATGTTGTTGATACAACAGTCATGAAATTTGGTTAAGGAATTCGTAGCTCCTAGATGGAAAAGATTTTGCCATACAGATGAGTACTAGGAACAAACTTCATATTTGTTTATACACATTGTATGGCACACAAGTTCTTTAAACTTCCACATCCTTGTTTTTATAAAACTTACGTTGATTCCTTTGAGACTCTGGAGCTGGCATCCGAATCATGACGACGACGTTTGGCATCCGACCTATTATTTTTGTAACGTGGCCTGTACCCAAGAAACAAAACAAAAAAAAAACATTAAAAGAATAGTCCTCCAAGAATACAAAAATCCATTTAAAATCATACTCACGGTGAATTAACATCCGAGGCTATTGGTGAATTTTCCTCAGAATCAACACGCCGACGTTTATCACGCATCCCACCGGATGAACGATCTCTTGAATGGTGACGTCTACGGGTACGGGGCATCTGTAATGTAAATGGAAATTAGATTATTAGGTATCAAGTGTATGGGAAAATATGAATATTGATGAGCGTGTTTAATTCTAAACATCAACTGTATGTGAAGAGGTATTTAGGAGGTAGGCCGGCGGCAAGAGTTATACTATTATTAGAGGTATGTTTTTGCAAGTGGTAGTAGTAGAAAAAAAGCCACGAAGACATGGCTATAAAAAAACAAAGACAAATGTTCAAACAGAGAAAAACAAACTCTGAATAAATGTGTGTGTGGAAATTATTAATATATTGAGCATTATTAATTAATCAAATGGATGGCTGAATGCAATCAATCGAGAGTCATACCAGTAATCTATGATTGTTGCGACACATTAAACATAAATAGAGGAAGTAAAGAAATATTAACTGATCTAACTCCCGACATGGAACACAATGCATAAATATATTTAGAAATAGGTAAATTGTAAAACTAGGAATTTACCTTAAATTGTTAATTGAACAAATAAATTGATTTGTTTTATTTTGGGATGAAACACACAAAAAAAGTTGTGCACCGCTTTTGGTCAGTTTTTGGATTTGTTGAAAAGTTGTTTGCTTGGGTTTTAGTTGTTTGCTTGTTTGTTGGAAAGGTCAGCACCATACAACGACAACGTCGTCCATTGAGAGAAGAATCTTATAGTAGATTTATTTGTTAATTCTTTTTTTTTATTTTTGGTTTTCTGTCAGCTGCCGTTGGGATATAAAAACGTGAAAAACAATCCCAAGAAACGAAACAAGTTTATTTGTGCGAATTGTTATTTAAGCTAGAAGAAAAACACGACAGACGGCTGGGAGTCAGCTAAAACAGCAACACCGTGGCCGCAAGAACACACTCCACCGTAAATTGTATGGATGTATAAAAAAGTGTGCGCAAAATTGATTTTTCTGTTCCTTCTTTTTACGACGTCGTTGCCGTCGTCGTAGTTTGGTATTGTTGTTTTTAAGGTTTTCCTGGTTTTTTGATGATCGAAGGAAATTTTCAATTGTCTATTGGACAATTTCACGTGGTATCTGACGTATGAAAGGAAACCAAGTGCAATTTTTGTCAATTTATTGGTGATTTGTTTGCGATTTTCTTATTGAAATCCGTGAAAAAAACACTTTCAAACAGCTTTTGTGAATCTGCAAACACACACAAATCTTTCAACTTTAGTCTTTGGCAGCAACACTCTTCTCTCACTCTCTTGTTGGAATTTTCATGGCTGTCAAATGTCTATTTGACATTTAAAAAACACAGCGACCTCTGCTGATAAATATTGATATTTACCAGCATTTATAGCACGAAGTGACGTTTTCCATGACAGCTACTAAAGCAAATGACGCGAAAATATAGGAATGCCACATAATTGCAGGAATAGAACATTTTACAAGCCAAAAGCAGGGTTTTTAAATTAAGTTTTTAATGGATAACCTCTAAGTGAAAATTATTTGAAGAACAAGAAAAAGAGTAAATAGAGTTTACATGGCATAATTACTACAAGGTGATGTTGCTCAAGAAACCAAAAACAATAACCTCACATTTGGTCGACTATTTTAGTCTGTAAACAGTGAGCTTTATGGGAAAGAAGGGGTTTAAATTAGGTATATCAACTAAATTGACCGCTACAATTCTTATGCCCTCCACCACAGTATGGAGCGTATATTAAGTTGTCATTCCGTTTGTAACACCTCGAAATATACACTTTAGTCCCCACAAAGTATATACATATTCTTGATCAGCATAAAATTCTATGTCGATTTAGCGATGTAATTAGCAGTTTTCACTTTAAATTAGAATTCTTTAATTTAAAATACGAATTATTCCATTTGTAATTCAGATTATTTCATTTGAAATTCGAAACAAAAAAAATCAAACTTTTTTGAACTTGTTTCATATTTGCTTTTACGAATTACAAATAAAATGATTCACATTACAAGTAAAATAATTTGAATTTCAGATGGAATAATAAGTCGGTAAAAATTGAAATTATAAATTGAATATTTCGAATTTCAAATGATGTTTAACGAATAACTAATGACAAAAATAAATTAAGATTTAACATTTCGTCAGGCATTGATTTTAGACAAAATTGTAACAGCTGAAATCGACTATTTTGAATAATGAAAGCAAATTTTTTCAAAATCATAATAATGGAAATAATTGACTTCGATCCAATTACTCGAACAAGCCCTTTTTCCAATTTCGCGTAATTCTGAAAGAAACAGGCATTGCCTCAGAGTTTCACTTAAATATTCTTCTGGAATCCGTTCTAGCTTTTTATTCCTACCAACCCTTAATACAATAATTTCAAATAATTATATGAGGTTCTGCATTTACTGTAATTCACCTTGTCAAATTAACCTTAATTGAAAATGCATTTAATTATTTAATTATTTTGATGTACAGGGTGAAATAATAAAAAAATTGCAACAAAGTCAAAAGCCATAATTTTTAAATTTTTAAAATTTTATTGGATGAAAGCTACAAATGACGAAAATAGCATTAAATTTGAGGATAACTTTAGATTTATCCGAATTGGTCACCTTTGGCACGAATTATGGCCTTCAAACGGCCAATGAAACCCTCACACGCTGCCCAGATGTTGCTCTGCGGTATTTTGGCCCATTCCAGGCGAAGCGCTTGCTTGAGGCGATCGACACTTTGGTATTTTTTAGTGTCAACCTTGATTTCCAAAATAGTCCAGACATAATAATCGAACGGATTACGGATAACCATTCTTGGGTGGCGCGTGCTGAGTGCGATGGTGCTGAGTGCGATGGTGCTAAGTTCTGTTGGAATGTCCAAGGTCTGCGGCCAAAATGTTTGCGTGCCCAATATTTTCGCTATAATAGTATTTTGTTGCCACAGTCGATTGATTCGAGCGGAGAGCGACCATCGGAATGGAATATTGCGATATGTTCAGCTCACGAGACCACCGCGACGCGGGTTTCGATCAAGTCGCTTCTTTACTTTTCGAACCATTTCTGCTAATGTTGCTGCTTTCTTCCATCCACTTCCTTGACGTCGGGCTACGCTACCAGTATCACGGTAATGAGCGATGGTATGAGACACAAAAGATTTATTCACATTTGAATGCTGGAGTGCTCTAACGATAGCCACTTGTGGTTTTCCGGCCAAATATAAAGAAATCACACTCTTCTCACCAAAATGCTCTGTACGCTAATAAACAACATAATGAGCTGTCACTGGAATAATTTAAACAGCGGTCGGACGAGTGAAGTTGGTTGCAGCTTTTTATCTCACCCTGTATCTTACAAAGGGATGAAATTCGAAAGATGATATTACGGATTTCATTTAAGATTTAAATATTTGTAACTAACTTATTAGAACTCTTCCAAACCTAGGCTCATTTTGAATATTTTGGAATGAAAATTTCCCCTTCAAAGAAACAAAAAGTTCCGAACAAAAGTTTTTAGGCCGTACAAAGGCTCAAAATCAGTAAACGAGAGTTGCAACGTTATGTCACAATCAGAATTTTTAGTGGGTTTTTGTTTTTCTCTACCCATTAGAAACATAAAATGCAAAAATGCAGATAATAAAAATTTGGAAAATAACAAATATAATAGGGATATATTACACGAAAAGTAATTAAAAATGTTAGAAATTGTCAAAATATTCTGCAGAAGAGATTTGCAAAATTAGGAAGCAATTCGAGAAAATGCGAATTGCCTTATAATGTGTTCTATTTCCTACACTAATATTTTCATATATAGAATATTTTTCTAGCTTTGTCTTTTTCCAATAAGTATGTCTAAAAATGCAATTCTGATTACTCCCAGGGAGTGGTATGAAATTTCTCATTAATAATATTTTCATTACATATTTTTTTAATTTGACGATTTAACATGTTGTAAATTTATGTGGCAACATAACAATTGCTGTCTATTATCTGATAGCAACGGCAACTCTGTTACACGTATGGTGTTTCATTCCATTTTATTCCGTGCAAAATTATTTACAATTGCTGTCCAATCGGAAATTACAATTGCAACGACAGCCGGAATTTTTTTACAACGATACTATTCTGCATTCCAAACAAATAGTTTGTAATTAATGTCCTATAAAACATAAAACAAACAAAGTAATCATGACTTTTTTGTATTTACAGGTACAAAAAGAACCTTGTTTACAACAGCAGCCACCTTTTTTCTCAATGACCTCCATGAAAGACGAATAAGAACAAAAAACATTATCAAACACACTTCTAACACTAAAACAAAAGAAAATAAACAAGAGATAAGCTCATAAGAAGCGCTACTTTATTTACAATCAGTTTGCTTTACTCAAATAGCATTATCACGTGGCTACGAGACGGGAAAAATGGTTCTTAAATTTGCAGCAAATCTAAACTTCCTTTTCACAGAGGCTCGCACAATATCCGAAAGAATTTGTTTGGCCCATAAAGCTGGCTTTCGGGCAGTGGAAATACCCTATCCCAGATCAGAAGAAACTGCAGTGGTAAAGGCAAAGCAGGAAACTGGCATACAAGTATCGCTGTTAAACATTGCTTTGGGCAGCAATGAATTGCAGTTGGGTGCAACAAGTATTCCCGGAGCTGAGCAGCAATTTCAAGAGCATTTAAACGAAACCATACAACTGGCCAAGCAATTGCAGTGTAATAAGATACATTTAATGTCTGGCCTGGTGGGAAAGCATTCACGTGAAGAGCATTTAAAAACCTACATCGAAAATTTAAAATATGCAGCCAACCTGTTGGCTCAAGAGAACATGGTGGGTGTAATCGAACCAATTAATAAATATTCCGTACATTCATATTTTATGAATTGTTACGACTTGGCTGTCAGCGTTCTGGATGAAGTCAAAAGCGATAATTTGAAAATGCTAATGGATGTCTTCCATAGACAATTGATTAGGGGTGATTTGGCAAATGGATTCACAGAGTTATCGAAATATATTGGACACATACAAATTGCACAAGTACCACATCGTCATGAGCCCGATCAAGAAGGTGAATTGGATTATCGTTATGTTTTCAAATTGATCGAAAGGCTGGGATATGCTGATTACATTGGATGTGAATATAAACCCAAAACAAATACCACGGATGGGCTGAAATGGTTAACCAAATATAGTTTGCATTTGTAGGCCTGATGGCGTGGAATTTTTGGAATTATAAAGTATAAATTTGTTGTTAAATAAATAAAAGTTAAATATTGTTTGGTAGATATATATACAACGAGTTTTAAAAAAAATTTTAATTCTTAAAAATATTATTTTATTAATTCAACCACTGATACTTGGAGCATAGAGTCAGAATAAATGGATCTGCTGACATACATAATTTAAACGGCTGTTCGCGTTGACAGTGGGAAATTGTTTTGTATATTAAACAGTGTCTCATCGGTGCAGGTATAAATTGCATCTTCATTCTTTATCCCAATACCTGCCGATATTGACCAGTTTTTAAGAAGCAAATTTAACTAAAAACTACAATAGCTTAATTAAAGCAAATTTATTATTGTTTTGGAGAATGTAGCTCGTCATGAAATTTTAAATCTGATAGAGCATCTGTCTCCACATTAAAAAATAGGGAGAAATATGTTGGACATATAGTACCGTGTAAGATACCAAATATCTTGGATATAATATCTATAAAGTTTTAAAAATTTTCTGCCTTTTGCTCTGTCTAACACCTCACTATTTCATGTAAATTCAGGGCTCTATACAGGGTGAAATGAAAAAACTGCAACCGATTTCATACTGTTTTCACTTCTTATACGTCCGACTGCTGTTAAAATTATTCCAGTGACAGCTGATTATATTGTTTACAAGCGTACAAAATCATTTTGGTGAGAATTTTCCAGAAAAAAAGTTATTCGTGACGGAATTCAAGCGTGATAGTGTGATTTCTTTGTAGTTGGCTGGAAAACCACAAGTGGCTATCGTTAGAGCACTCCAGCATTTAAATGTGAATAAATCTTTTGTGTCTCGTGACATCGCTCGTTACCGTGATACTCGTAGCGTAGCCTGACGACAAGGAAGTGGACGGAAGAAAACAGCAACATCGGCAAAAATGGTTCGAAAAGTAAAGAAGCGATTTAATCAAAACCCGTGTCGCAGTGGCCGAAAATATCGCAATATGAACATATCGCAATATTCCATTTGGCAAATATTGAAAAATGAGCTCGGGGTAAAGCCATTGAAATTGCAAAAAAGTGCAAGAACTTACACCGCAACAGAAAGAAAATAGGCTCAAAGAGCTAAAGAGTTGCTTCGCTGGGCCGAAAGTGGTGAACTGCCGAATTTGGTTTTCTCCGATGAGAAAACATTCTTGTCCAGCAATTTGTAAACAAACAAAATGATCGTGTTGACTTGCTAAAGAGGTCAGCTGAAAATGTGCACCTTCAGTTCGCCACCAGAACTCAAGCGCCGGCCATGGTGATGGTGTGGGCCGCCATAACAGCCGATGGTCGGTCTCCGCTCGTATTAATCGACAGTGGCATCCGTATAAATGCCGAAGATTATCGCGAAATTATTCTGGGGGTGTATTAAAGCCTTGGGCAGCAAACATTTCGGCCGCAGACCTGGACATCCCAACAGGACTCAGCACCATGACACTCAGCACGCGCCACCCAAGAATGGTTACGAAATGAGGTTCCTCTCGTCATTTCCAGCACACAATGACCACCAAAATCTCCGGATACCAATCCGTTGGACTATTGCGTCTGGAGTATTTTGGAAAGCAAGGTTGGCACTAAAAAATACCAAAGTATAGATCACCTCAAGCAAACGCTTCGCCGGGAATGGACAAGAGCAACATTCGAGCAGCGTGAGACGGTTTCATTGGCCGTTTGAAGGCCATAATTCGTGTCAAATGTGACCAATTCCAACAAATCTAAACTTATTCTGAGCTTTGATGCTATTTCCGAAATCGTCTATATCTAATGTTAGTACAAATATAGCAATGGGCAAATTTTGAAGAAATCTAAGTAACTCTGAATTATTTTGCATTTTATAATGTTTATAATTATTCAAAATTTTAACCCCTTGGGGTTTGGTAAAAATATTAAGAAATACGAAGCTTGAAGAAAATCGTTAACTTGATTCGCATATTGTAAGGGTTAAAATTAATTCAAATTTTAGGAAGAAGGAGTGGACCAATATATCCCATCTTCACACTAAATGTTATGTTAATAGAAATATTAGGATGTACTATATTTGGAATGAATTGGATGCTCATTTCGCATTATTGTTATTCAAAATGATGACTCGTTATGGGGGAGGTACAAGAAGTGGTGGTCCGTTCCAGCCTTCATAACAGGTCTAGGATTTGCAAAAATATTGGGATGTGTGATATTTGAACACAGTCGAACTTTTATTTCACATTTTATAATATTATTCAAAATGTGAACCCTTTGTGCCGGTGGTATTAGAAGGAACATACAGCACTGTGACAAATATTAGGATCTGCCAAGATTGAAGAGATGCACTTTTCTATTTCTATAACGTAAACTATTTTTGATCTTCTAACTGTATCAAAGTTGGACAATATTACGATGCACCAAGTCGAACAAAAGCAGAATCTTCCACCAAAACATACAAAATATCAAATAAGAGCTGATTTAGTTGGAAATTGAGACCAAAAACAGGCAAAGTCCTATAAATCAGGAGCTGCACGACTCCAAAGACCTGAACCTGTAATGTTTCGTCGGTTACGTATTATAAAATGTTTATAACAAAGATCCATACAATGTGGAATATGCCCTTGAGGACCTTATTACGGCATAATTTGCTTCTCTAAAAAGTCAATACTTCACGTATCTTAAATTGCCGACAGGAGACTGTCCAACCAATGAGACGTTGAAAAAACGACAACGAATTAGTACCCCAAGGTTTTCACGGTAAAAATATGCTGTGTATTTATGGAATTTTGAAAACCCACGTCTCGGAAAGTAAGGAATGCAATGTCTATGAAATTGTCAAAATTATCCGAGCCGGCCCTTAACTTTGTATCTAAAGTTCTGCCATTTAGACATCGATGTTATACCTAAATACATGCGCTTCTGAAAAGTTTACAGATTTTATTTATATTTGGTTGATAGGTTATTATTCCAAACATTACAACATAGAATGCTCTCTCATGAGCTCAGAAATTTTCAATCGATTTTGACCGAACTTAATAATTTTTAAGAATAGCGAAGTAGAAGTTTTATTTCTTATATTCCTTCAACAAGTAGGGAAGAAACTCATACTGTTGCAAAATTTCTTATCTACCATTTATTATAAAAACATCATATTTCGCTGTAATTAAATTCAGTGGGGAAAGCGATTAAATTACAAAAAACAGAAACAAAACCAACAAAACTTACCTCTCCTTTAGAAACCGCTGCCTTGGCCTTATTAGAGCTAATATTTATTGACGATGAAGCGCTAACAGTTGTTGCCGAATTATTGGAATTTTTATCCAAAATACTGCTGTCTGCTGTTGTTGTTAGTGGCGTATATGTCAGGGCTAACAAAGGAGGCGAATTTATTGGCAAATTAAGTCTATTCCAAAGAGTATTAAGCAATGTTGATACGCGTTTCCAAGTATTATAGGCAGGTTGCAATTTTATGTACATGTTCCCTATAGGCGACTTTCAATTGTCTGCAGTACATGGAATCACTCAGATGGCCACATTCAATATAAACAAATAATTAAACTGAATGGACAACAACCGCATAAAAATACGAACAACGACAAAAAAAAACACTTTTTTATGTTTTTTATTTTATTTATTATATTCTTCCGACACTAATTCTTCTTAGACTGTTGTTTTTATTTTCAGTTTTCTTTGCCCACAAAAACAACGCTACTAACAACCAAAAAACGCGAAGAAGAGTTAATAGCATAAAAACATACACTGAGTGAGTGAGAGCGAGAGACGGTGCAAGAGAAGGACAAGCGTCAGTTGGATGTCAACTGAGTAGTCAAGAGTAAGAGGGACTCTCTTCGCAAAGCAACAACAATAACAATGGATGGTATCCAAAACAATTTCACGTTGCAAAATCGCTATGCTTTTTTGTTTGCGTGCACATTCGAGTTTTGTTTAACACAATTTCATTTTAAAGAGCAGTTTTTGTATATTTATGTTAGTTGAAATTTAATTTATCGATTTTATGGCAATTATTTACAAATTGTGTTGTCTCTATGATGGTTTTTTGCGAAAACTTTTTTCTGGCGCCCGTTTTGAGTTTGATTTTTTTATTGAATTAGACCGGCGATGAACTACAACCAACTTCACTCCAATAAGAATATTAATGCCACATTGTAGAAAATTGGTCAATTGTTTTTGGTTGAAAAACAAATTGTTCAACATTTACATTTGCTCTATTTCTGATGTGCAAAAATGTAAAAAATGTTACTACCATAACAATAAAAAGGTAAGGCAGAGCTACCAGCTGATTACAATTTTTCTCTAAGTGTGCCCGGCTTCTGCCATTTTTGTGTATGTATTTATTGTTTTGAAAAATAAAAACAAAATATTTTCAAAACAATGATTAGAAGATACTTTAATTACGAAACACGCATTAAAGCTATTCGTTAGGTTTGCCATGCAATTGAAATATATGGCTTATATGTATTCAATATGATGGCTTATATGTATTCAATTGCATGTCACAAAATTTGGAAGTAATGCAAAGAAATTGTTTGTGAAATGCACTAACGATCTTCTTTTATCTTCATTGACGCTAAAAGGTACTCCTTGGCGATAGAAGGCACACAAGAGTAATTTTGTAATTGTCTGGTTAAACTAAAATTTGTAATAATTATTACTGGAAGTCATCGGTTAACACGAAAGATCTGTAAAAAGGCGATTCGATAGGGAAATGTTGGCAGCTCTTTTACTGGGAGTATGCAAATTCTTACGGGACTATTTTTTTTTAAACACTTCAACATCAATGATCGGAAGAAAAGCACATTGGGTGAGCACATTGAAGACAACTTAGATCATATCTTTGAGGTTTGTCTGGTTATTTTTTCCTACAGGAATTGACGAGAGGTTTTTTCTGCGAGAGTAAGGTAGTTTTAGTTCTCTTTTGCAAGGAAAGTGTGAAAAGTACATTTTACAATTAGGAGATTGAGCAGCCTCGTTATACGTGCACCGTAAAGTATGTTTCTACCGATGGCCCAATCAGAAAGGTTGATCAACTCCAAGAACAAGAAAAAATGCAACTCTGTACCGGAG